TAATTACTTTTGAAAATAAGTAATCAGTAAAGTAACTGGATTACTTTTTGGGGGAAGTAATCAGTAATTAGTTACTGATTACTTTTTTCAAGTAACTTGACCAACACTGGTTGGGAGGGGCTCTAGTCTGCAGGATCTTCAATTCCCACCTTCACAGCATTAGGAGGGATGTTGGGGAAATCAAGCCTGACTATGTCCTGTACTTCCATTGCTGAGGTGGTCGCACAGAGTGGCGACCATAAGTTGGCTGGTATTGTGGTGGTAATCATAGGTTTGGTGAGCTTAGGAGGCAGCATCAATAAAAAATGAATACCTTGGTAAAAGTAAGTGTCTGCCAGAAATTTAAAAAATAATATTCAGGCAAAACATTTTCAGCCAGAATGAACTGCATTCAAGTTATTTAAAACTGCTTTAAATTTGTTCAGTTAGACCACTTCTTGAAGTTTTAGTTGATTCTGCAGCTGATTCCAGGACAAAATGCATGCAAATTTAAATGCTCTTGTTTTAATCTAGTGCGGACCATCGACACAGAAAGAAAATAATTCTTGGGACCTAATACAATAACTCTCCACATTTTTTGATTAATGTTAGTCTACAACAAGATGGGAGCAAACCTAGAATCATCTTTTAAAAAATAATATACCAGTAGTTGAGTCTGGTGCATGACAAAACAAATCTTGCCTCAAAGGACAAGCAGAACTTTATTCTAAAGTAAAAACTGAATTTTAATATCAACCTTTTCACCAGTCACTGAATGTAAGGTGTAAGAGGAAGTCATCAGTTGTAATTGAGATTCTAACTGAATCTCAGAACCCTGAGAACCGTATTTTTTCCTGAAGCCTGACTGGAAATCACTTATAATCTTATTTACAGTCAATCAATCTTTCAGCTAGAAACCAACCAATAATTGTTTAAGATTGAAAAAAAAAATCAGATATCCATATTAGAGATGGACCGATCCGATATTAAGTATAGGTCCGATACTGACCTAAATTACTGGATCGGATATCAGAGAGAAATAAAAAATGTAATCCGATCCATTAAATATCAAAAAAGCACCTCAGAAAACTTGCGACATAGCGTAACTCGGCTCATAACCTTAGCAAGCTGGAGCAGTATGCGCCATGTGATAGAGCAGCTGTGGCATACGAGACCTGTC